TTTCACTGCTTACTTATTCAAAAGCACATGATGTATAAACACCACAACTTCTAAACACCTTCCTTCTTGACAAACACATGATGCATTGACACCATATCTGACTAAACATGGTACCATTTGATTTCTGTGATCCAACTTGACCGATGAGGGTATAAAGTGTTTCAATGAAGCACAATCCTTTAGGCTGGAAAAGAAGAGCATTTGAAGTGAATTACCCGTGCTGTCAATTTTCCATCAGTTTAAATTCAAAATTTCAGTTGAATTTTATGAATAGCTCAACTTGATACTTCATGAATTTTCAATATCTCTGATTTAATTCTTACCTGAAGAGGTAACCAGCTCTTTTTCTACCGGTACAGCCCTCTTGGTTAGTCCACTACATCGCTGACTTGAAAACTAACTTGAATTGATCTGTCAATTGATTCTAGCAAAACAGTACCTGCATCTAATTCATCTGCTGATCACACACTTAAAAGGCAAATTAAATGTAATGCTTAGTAAGAGAGAAAAACAATAATTGCAAGACGTCTGTCTAGTTTAAATTGTAAGGCGTCTAACTCCGAAATCGGTAGATCTGAGGTTTGAATCCTCATGATAGTCGACCAGAAACTTTAGTTTCAAGCTTTTTACGTATAATTTCATTTTAAAGTCGACTCACGTTTTTTTCTCTGCTTACCTGGTAGAGCATTTCATATCGATATTGCAAGGTCTGAGGTTTGAATCCTCACGTCAGCTTACCTATAATTTTCTCTTTCTACTCCGCTGCACGAGCATTTTATTGTGATAGTTGATAAATGAGGTTTGAATCCTCACGAAACGTCTACCCAAATGTCTTCCTCTGCCCAGCTGGTAGAGCAGATTGCGAAGCTTTAAGGTCTACGGTTTGAGTCCTTATCGTTGTTGACCGAGCTGTTTTGCCTTTTTTTGCTCAGCTGATAAAGTGATCTGTAATTTTCCTGAGAGATAATTGATTTTGGACTCGCGTAACATAGGCAATTAGTTATTGTGGTCCCTCTCGAGTTAAGCTCTACAAGCTTCAGTCGCCATTATTGAGTTCTAGGAGACTAAGGTGTCTCATTCTTTATTTACTAAGGACCGCCAATGGTTTTTTAAATACCCTTGACTTTGAATGTCAAATATACCAGAGGAAAAAGAAATTACAATCCCTGCTTGAATAAAGACACTGTCCTCTGGTGGTTACAGCCGACACCTGAAATGGGTCTGGACCTCCGGGTTTGAGACCTATGTATCGACTATTCTCGTTTCATTAAAAAACAAAAACAAAAAAATATATATAAACATAAAACAAAAATGAAACGAGCTTACGCCGAGGTACCAGACGGGCGAGACCGAAGTATGGGCAATCTGCACTGCACCTCTCCTCGGGACGCGAAATAGACAAGCACCGAGTGGAGTGCACGAAACCTTCCACTAAGCTGGGATCGCCTTCTTTGGGCAGACTGCGTGAGGTTCGAATCCTCACAGGGGACTCAGGTTGTAATATTTGTTTCCTCAGTATCCTATATACGGTACCATTTGATTTCGGTGATCCAACTTGTCCCCTGACGGCTGTAAAGTGTTTTTTTCTTAAGCTGAGAAAGAAGATTGCTTTAAGTAAATGAATTGTGCTGATAGACTTCCACATTGAATTGAAATCTCCTAAACTCCTTCTATATTCTTTATGAATGAGAAGAGGGAAGCTTAGTTACATACAAGTGACTCTTTTTTTGTTATTATTCATTCGTTTTGCTGTGATTTTTATTTCATTTCCCTGTTCACTTTAAATGTTCGGTTTAATATGGTTTTTGACTCCAGTCTTCCTTCTTTTCCAGAAGTGCACAATTCATGATTGTCGCTAAAACGTAAAAGCAGTTCTTAGCCAGTCTAGACTCAATATTCCAGTTGCCTTTAAAATATATACTTAAACATAACGCGTTTACTCACATTAATAGCTCAATAATATTTCATGAATTGTTAATATCTCTGATTGAATTCTCACCTGAACAGTTCAGCAGCCCTCAGTAGATGTAACACACTGTTGATTGATCAACTAGATGACTGTGATGAAATCCAATATGAATTGATCTGGCGTTTGATTCCAGCTGAACAATAACGGCATCTATATCACCTGTTGATCCAACACTCAAGAAGCATACAAAATACAATGCTTAGTGTGAGATAAGAACAGCAACTGCACGGCGTTTTTAATTATTCTTCAGCAGATAGGGTATCTGACAGCAAAATCGGTAGATCTGAGGTTTGAATCCTCATGGTAGTCGACCAGCAACTCTCGTTTAACATGTTTAACATGTGTAGTGTGACCTTCAAGAATGTCCTAGAAGTAGCTGTGTCATGCTGAGTCATCCCCGAATGAATATATAGATAGAATCTGTTGTAACGTTACGGAACGTTCTAGATCCTCAACTGGACCTACAAAAGCCGAGCTTGTAACTAGATGTAGAGAGTAGTTTAGTTGCTGGTATAGCCCGACAGATATCAATAAAGGTGTATGATGCAGAATACAAGACGTCCACACTTCATGGTGTCAGGATGTGGATTACAAAATTGAAGATAACTTTCGTCGATCCAAGCAAAGACAGAAGAATTAATCGCGGGCGCTTACAGAATCCAGCGGTGTTATTGGACAGACCGGAAGCCCTAACACTGCCACTTGTGACATTTGAAGTGAATTTCGAGGTTCACACATTGAGGAAACTGCATTTCTGCGAAAGGCCAGAGCCTAGCGAACGTCTCACGAGGACAACAAAAGAATTAACAGGATGGACGATCAAGAGGACCCTCCGGTGCAAGAGAATCCTCCAGAAGCTCCTCTAGCGCAACCTATTGTGCCACCTGCACAGATGTTGATCTACAGTCAGCTACCAACGCCACCTCCAATGAGTCTCAAGGGGAACCTGGCAGAGAACTGGACTTTTTTCAGAGAGAGTTGGGAGAGCTATAAGATAGCAACTGAACTTGATAAAAAATCCAAACCAGTCATTTTGGAAACTCTTAAGATAGTTCTGCCTGTAGCTGATCGCACAGATCCTGATAGTTTCTTGCAGGCCCTGACGCAGCATTTTGAACCACAAAGGAATATTATTTTTGAGCGTTACCTGTTCAACAGTGCCAACCACGGAAATGAAAACATCGATCAATACCTGAACAGACTGCGAAAGCTAGCGTCAACCTGTGCTTATGGCGCTCTGTGTGACGAACTGATTCGAGACAGACTGGTCATTGGAATCAAAAGCCATGAAGTCAGAGAACGACTACTCCGTGAGAAGGCTCTCACTCTCAATACAGCCTTAGACATAATTAGAGCTGCAGAAACAGCCAGCGTTCAACTGAAAAAGATTGATGGAGAAATAGAAACTTCAGTACATGCTGTCAAGTACAAAGGAAAGAAACCAGATTTTACACGACGAGTAGAAACGGTGAAACAATATAAATATTGTGGAACGAACTACAATTTGCGCCAGTGTCCGGCTTATGGAAAAAAATGCAGCAAGTGTAAAATGAAGAACCATTTCGCTAAGATGTGCTGAAGTTGAGATCAAGAATCTCAAAGGAGAACACAGAAATCTGTGAAGAGCGTTTCCAAGAAACCTACGAGGAGTATTCATAGAATTGAAGAAGCCGAACCAGCAATCACTGATGATGAAGTTTACTGCATGTATTCAGTCACTGACAGCAGCCGTTCTAAATACATGATTCAACCTCAGCTGAGAAGGGGACGGACAAGTGATTAGATTAAGGTGACCTTGCAGACTGATAGCGGATCAGAGGCTAATTGCTTGAGAAATGGAAGATTTTATAAAGATTCAAAACCGACCAGACTTGAAGAAAACTCGTGTCATTTTGAAAGCGTACAATGGAGAACGTGTGTTACCCAAAGGTGAAGTCTGCCTTGACATCCAGATTGGTGGAAAAATAACCAGAGCAAAATTCTTAGTGGTTGATAATGCTCCAAGTTCGCTGTTATCAGGAAAAACATGTGAGGAGTTGGAACTCCTGTCTACTAAAAGAGAATTACTCGTCAACTCAGTTTCTGACGTAAAAGAGTTGATCAAGGATGCTATTTTGCGAGAACACAACGATCTATTCACTGGGCTGGGGTACATTGGAAATTACAAGATTGAACTGACAGAAGGAGCAGTACCGAAACAAGATGTGCCTAGAACCGTACCCATCGCACTGAGAGACGATCCCAAGAAGAAACTTCATGAAATGGAGCAGAAAGGCCACATAGCGAAAGTTGATGAACCAACAGACTGGGTGAGCAGTGCAGTATATGTGAAGAAGCGCAATGGCCAACTACGTGTTTGCCTGGATCCCAGAGAATTGAACAAGCATGTCAAAATACCAAAGCTCTGCCTTCCAATCATTGATGATGTGACCTCCAGGCTTGTTAAAGCGCAAGTGTTCACAGTCCTGGACGCAAAATATGGATTTCTGCAAGTGAAGCTAAATGAGGACTCTAGCAAATTAACAACATTTCACACTTCTTTTGGTAGATACAAGTGGCTTAGGATGCCCTTCGGCATATGTAGTGCACCAGAAGAATTCAGAGACATGTAAATGAAATCATTGAGGGCCTGGAAGGAGTAACCGCTATAGCTGATGACCTGTGAGTAACTGGAGCAGGAAACACCCATGAAGAAGCCTTGGCAGACCATGAAAGAAATCTGATTGCGTTGCTACAGAGATGCAGGGAGCGAAACTTCAAACTGAACAAGGACAAGTTCGTCTTCAAACAACAGAAATAGAAGTACTGTGGTCATATCTTGACTTCTGAGGGTATTTTTCCAGACCCAGCCAAAGTTGAAGCCATCACTCAGATGCCGAGTGTTATGTATACCGCTGACCTCTTGTAGGCTCAGCAAGATATAAAACACGTGTGTTGTTTAAATCCAACATGGCGGTCAAGTGTTGATATGTAACATGGTGTCAAAATAGTGGGATTTCGAGTGCCGCCGAACGAAACCTAGCACAAAGATATGGCAAAAGGATACGCTAACGCGTCGTACAACTGGCCAACGATGAATTGGGCCGCTACGGACCTGAGTAAAGAGTGGGAAAGATTTTATCAACACTGCGAATTTGCTTTCGGAGGACCACTCAACAAGTGCACGGAAAAAGAGAAAGTATGCAACCTGATGAGCTTTGTCGGTGACAAGGGCCAAGAGATTTACCTCACTTTCCGGTGGAACACTGTTCAAGTTGGATCGGGGGAAAACAGACGTGACATCAGTGAAAGGGACATACTTGAACGGGTCGCCGAAAAATTCAAAGCACACCTCGAAGCTAAAAAGAACCCAATAATGGCGGCAGTCAAATTCGATCGGAGACGCCAACTGCACGGGGAAACGTTTGATTCCTTCGTCACTGACCTCAAAGTCCTAGCCCGAGGGCTAGACATGACCGAGACAAATAAGTTAATTCGGAACGCCATCGCGTGTAAATCACTGGATGAACGAGTACGACAACGTTGCCTGGAAAAAAGGAAAAACCTTACACTCGAAACAGCCATCAGCATCGGTCGAATGTTCGAGGCCACAAGGGATGGAATCCAGGTGATGTCAGGTGAAAACCCGAGAATTGAAGTTAGTAAAGTTACATGGAAGAAGGACTCGTCTAGGCAGCATAAAAAGGCGAGAAATTTCAAGAAACCGAGAGGTAACAATGAGCAGGTTCAGAAATGTGACAGGTGTGGATACAATGCACACAAGCCACAAGAAAAGTGTCCAGCCAAGAATGAATCGTGTAATAAGAGCAGGAAAATTGGACACTTTGCCCAAGTGTGCAGAAGTCGGAAAAGTATCGTTCACGTGCCGAATGAAATAGACTATTCGGGAGACGAATATTCCAGTGTTGAGGAAGGTGCTGAAAGGGACTTACAACTAATACATGTAGCAAGTCTAGAAATAAACAGGATCAACGACAACCAGAACCCAGGTGAAAAGGACGAATAGTGTGAATTCCTGGAAGTGGGCAATAGCACCCTGTTTTGTCAGCTCGACACTGGTGCCTAAGCAAGTGTGATAAACACCACCCAGCTCAGACAAATAGCAACAAATTCCCCTATTAAGAAAACCAAGAAGACTTTGGTTTCCTATAGTGTAGTGTCTTATATTGCATTATGAGTATGCGCACTGGGTTGTTATTACGAGCAGGATTAGAGAAGTAGAAGTTTCCATTAAAAGAGTTCAGAATTATAATCGAGGGTTCCATAACTGGCGACGAGGATATCCCAAACGAGCTCACCTACAACTACAACTCAATTTACAGTCATTTCGAAACAACTACATCGGATAAACAATGGAAAAAACAACATTCTTTTCACCACCACGTGCGCTGGCCGCCATCTTGAAACTGTTTTGAGGTGAAAATCTAGACTTCTCGACTCAGTTGAACAATAATATACACTCGCCACGGAAGATTCCCCGGAAAATTGCATCACAAGATTACACCGAACGATTACACAACTGCTGAAGCGAAATGGCGAATATTTTACCTCCATTTCCTCCATTCTCCGTACATGAAGACGACGCTTCAGTCGGTCCGCGTTGGAAAAAATGGTTGAAGCGTTTTGAAATGTATCTCGCTGCTCATGAGGTGAAAGATCCGACACGCAAGAGAGCGCTGCTACTATACTCCGCTGGTGAGGAAGTCGCCGACGTTTTCGAAACACTTCCAGACCAGGGCGAAGAGAAAGAATACGACAAAGCCGTAATCGCTTTGAATGCTTACTTCCAGCCCAAAGTAAACAAGACGTACGAAATTTACATGTTCAGAAATGCTACCCAGAATCCTGGTGAACTGCTAGATTCCTACTGCACACGGCTCAGACGCCTGGCTCAAACCTGTGAGTTTGCCAATGAAGACGAAGAAATCAAATCACACAGAGTCGTCTCTTGTTCATCTTCACGACTGCGACGAAGAGCTCTACGAGAAGATATGAATCTCAAAGACTTACTTGCCTATGGCCGGGGTCTAGAAATGTCTGACAAGCAAGCGAAAGGTATTGAGGAGCACGAAAAGTTAGCCAAAGTATCGCCAGTCCAGACAGAAAAGCGAACGTCCGAAAACAAGAAATGCTACAGATGTGGCGAACACTACCCTCATAAAGGGCGACCTTGTCCAGCCCTGAAAGAAATGTGCAAGCACTGTCACAAAAAGGGTCATTTCGCTACAGTATGCAGAAGTAGATTAACTGCTAAGAAAGTCAACACTGTGGGTGAAGGAGATAGTGATGAGTCCACTGATGAAGAATACACCTACCGTATCACTCTCCACTCCGTGCGTGACAAGGCACAACCATTAACTGAAGTTATCATTGGAGAAAAGACAGTGAAATGTCTTATCGACTCAGGAGCGGGAGTGAATGTTATTGACACGTATACTTTCAATCAGATGGAGAATATTCACATTTCACCTACTTTAAAGAAGATCTATGGCTACAGATCTTCCGAGCCTTTGCCAGTCGTTGGAACGTTCGAAGCCAACATCAAGTCGGGAGTGACCAACAAATTCAAGATCGCACAATTCTGTGTCGTTGACGGACAGGATGGAAACCTGATAGGCTATGAGACGGCAACTGATCTCGGACTGCTGCGCATAGTAAACAGTGTATCAGCACCCCAGGTGGATGATATCGTGGGGGAATACAAAGATTGCTTTGAGGGGCTGGGGAAAATGAAAGATAAAGCTGCGAAATTACATGTCAATAGTAGTGCAAGACCACTTGCTCGGAAGTTCCGTAGACTACCATTTCACGTTCGCGAACAAGTCAAGGCTGAGCTCAAGAATCTAGAGGAACTTGACATAATAGAACGAGCTGAAGGACCGACTCCCTGGGTGTCCCCGATAGTGGTAGTTCCAAAGAAGACAGGAATACGCATATGCGTCGATATGAGAGCGGCCAATCAGGCTATAGAACGGGAACGACACCCAGTACCTACTGTAGAAGACCTGATCGTTGATCTGAATGGATCCACTGTGTTCAGCAAGATAGACTTAAACCAAGGCTATCACCAACTTGAGCTGGAAGAAAATTCTCGAGGCATTACTACTTTTGCCACGCACATTGGTTTATTTCGATACAAGCGACTCACCTTTGGAGTCAACTCAGCAGCTGAAATATTTCAGAAGTCTATAGAAGAGGTATTACAGGGAGTTGAAGGTGCAAGAAACATATCTGACGACATAATAGTGTTTGGCAAGAACCAAGTTGATCATGACGAGGCTCTACGAGCTCTTCTTCAGAGAATGAGAGAAAACAATCTAACTGCGAACCCTGACAAGTGTCTGTTCAACCAATCATCCATTGACTTCTTTGGCCATCACTTCTCTGCAGACGGCATCGGTGCAGACGACAAGAAAATTTCATCCCTCATCAATGCCAGTGCTCCCAAGAATGCAACTGAAGCACGCAGTTTTCTTGGTTTGGCCCAGTACCTTGCACGCTTCATCAAGGACTTTGCATCCATTTCCGCTCCAGTCCGTCAACTCACACACAAAAATGCCAAATGGGCGTGGGGCCCAGAAGAACAACATGCATTTGTTTGTCTTAAGGCTCGCATGGCAACTCCAGAAGTCATGAAGTACTTCAACCCCTCGTTGGAAACAGAGCTGATCGTTGATGCCAGCCCTGTTGGACTGGGAGCAATTCTCACACTATTAACAGCAGATGGAGGAATGAACATTATAGCTTATGCAAGTCGCTCACTCACTGATTGCGAAAGCCGTTACAGTCAAACCGAAAGAGAGGCCCTTGCAGTGATCTGGGGAGTTGAACACTTTCACCTGTACCAGTATGGATCATCTTTTCGCGTCATCACAGATCACAAGCCATTAGAAACAATTTTCAACAACCCCACCTGCAAGGCAACTGCGAGACTTGAAAGACTACAGCTGCGCCTACAGCCATATGAAACTGCAGTTGTTTACAAGCCAGGAGCAGACAACCCAGCCGATTACATGAGTCGTCATCCTGATCCCAAGCAGTCACAGACCCCCCGTCATTTATCGAGAGTTGATGCCTATGTCAACTTTGTGATCACTAATTCTATGCCATCTGCCGTTACCCTTCAAGAGATCAAAGATGCGACAGCAACAGATGAAACATTGCAGAACCTGGCAAGGGTGATAACAACTCAAAAGTGGCACGAAGTCGGAAAGGATGTCGGTCAGTACCAACAGATCAAACAGGAGCTGTCAGTATCAAATGGTGTAATTCTGAGAGGAACCCGCATAATAGTTCCTGGAAGACTACGACAGCGAGTGATTATGTTAGCCCACAGTGGACATCAAGGCATCGTCAAGACGAAGCGTTTTCTGCGAGATTCAGTCTGGTTTCCAGGGATAGATAAAATGGTTGAAGAAATGGTAAGAGAGTGTCTACCATGTCAAGCTGCAAACCATGATGCAAAGCCGGTTTCTGAGCCTCTACAAATGTCCCCGCTACCACAAGGTCCGTGGCAAGAGCTATCCATGGATTTCTGTGGTCCTTTTCCAAATGGAGACTACTTGTTAGTCGTGACTGATGACTTTAGCAGATATCCAGAAGTTGAGATCCTGAGGTCAACATCAGCAAAAGCAGTAATTTCACACCTTGACAGTATCTTTGCTGGACAAGGAATTCCCAACATAGTAAGAACTGACAATGGTCCACCTTTCAACAGCGAAGATTTCCAAAAGTTTGCCACTCACTTTGGTTTCACTCATCGCAGAATAACTCCTATGTGGCCCAGAGCAAATGGGGAGGCGGAGAGACTGATGAGAACACTAGAGAAGGCAATTAGGACAGCCGTCATAGAAGGCAAGAACTGGAGGCAAGAGCTGTTCACCTTTCTTCGGCAGTACAGGGCAACCCCCCACAGCACCACAGGAAAGTCTCCATCTGAATTGTTGAGTGGACGAAAACTCAAGTCCACACTACCTCAGATACAACACGATCTGGCACCTCAAGAGGTTAGACAAACCGATGCCAAGAGAAAGACAGAGATGAAAGAATATGCGGATAGGTGCAGCCATGCCAAAAACACAGACCTAAGTGTTGGTGACAAAGTATTGCTAAAACAACCCAAGCAGAACAAGATGTCCACACCATTTAAACCTGAGCCACTTGAGATAAAAGACAATAAAGGAAGCATGATTACGGCCCAAAACGCAGAACGCACTGTAACCAGAAATGCGTCATTCTTCAAAAAGCTGCCTTCCAGCGTACCAGTACAACTCACTCCAAGTGACGAGGAAGAAAAATTTACACCCAGCATTGAGACAGCTGAAGCAGCTGATGTAGCTGAAGGATATCATGAAGCAGATGAAGCAGTTGAGGATGAACCAGAAGCACCACCTGCACTTCGCAGATCGGAAAGAACAAGAAGGGTGCCTGAACATTTCAAGGACTATGTGACTTGAACATTTGCCTGGAACATTTCAAGAACTATGTAACTTGAACATTATTTGGACAGATAGTCTAAGGAAACGATATGTTGAGTTTTTTTTTTTGTTCATAGTGACATTTTCATGGTGACATTTACCCTTCTCATTCTTAGAGGAAGGGAGAGATGTAGTGTCTTATATTGCATTACGAGTATGCGCACTGGGTTGTTATTACGAGCAGGATTAGAGAAGTAGAAGTTTCCATTAAAAGAGTTCAGAATTATGATCGAGGATTCCATATACAGCCAACACCAGATCAAACCAAAGGGTTACGTCACCCTTCCAGTGCGATTTAAAGACAAGAAGTTAAATGTAAACTTCCATGTTATAGATAGCAAGCAGAAACCAATACTGTCAGGCAAAGTCTTTCAAG